GTTCTCCTGAACACCTTACAAAACAATCTGTTTGCTTAGACTTTCACAAAAGACAGAAAAAGAGGATGTCTTCAAGGCGCCTCTGCTCTGGACCAGGCAGAAGTTCTGGGAATGCCTGACTGCTCACTGAAATCAAGGGGTACGGAGGTTTGAGGTAAAAACTAAGAGGGCAAAACTAATTTATATCTTGATAACTTTGAGTTGAAATTTTAAGCTTTTTAATCAATAAAGTGTAAAATTTTAATTTTGAAATATTTTTAAAATGTACATTGTATAAAATTTATAGAAATCTTTGTAGAAAGCACAAATAAGATCTATTATTAAAGTAGAAATTGATGAGTTTGTTATTACCTCCTGCCTGGCATGTTAGAAATCGCATAGCTGAAAGTTTAACATGGACCAGTAAGACTTAAAAGTGCTTTCTGCCTATCTTTTGTGAGTAATTTCTCATTTGCTTCATATGTATTTTTGTTTCATTTATTTTCTTTTACTACATTTTATTGATAATGGTATTGCAGTGGTCCCAATTTTTCCCCTGTTGTCCTCCTACATCCAGCATCTCCCACTCCCTCGTGCAATCTTCCCACCATTGTTCATGTCCATGGGTCATGAGTATAGAGTCTTCAGCTGCCCCATTTCCTACACTGTACTTTACATCCCCATGGCCATCCTGTAACCACCTATTTGTACTTCCTAATCCCCTCACCTTGTCTCCCCCATACCTCCTTCCACTTGGCAACCATCAAAATGCTCTCTGTATCCATGATTCTGTCTCTGTTCATCTTGTTTGCATAGTTTTTTTTTAGATTCAATTGTTGATAGGTATGTATTTATTGCCATTTTATTGTTCATAGTTTTGATTTTCTTAAGTAAGTCCCTTTAACACTTCATATAATAATGGTTCGGTGATGATGAACTCCTTAACTTTTTCTCATGTGGGAAGCTCTGTATCTGCCCTTTGATTCTAAATGATACCTTTGCTGGGTAGAGCAATCTTGGCTGTAGGTCCCTGTTTTTCATGACTGAATATTTCTTGCCAACCCTTTCTAGTCTGCAAAGTTTCTTTTGAGAAATCATCTTACAGTTGTGTGGGAACTCTGCGTAAGTAACTAACTTTCTTTCTTTTGCTGCTTTTAAGATTTTCTCTTTAACATTTGGCATTTTAATTATGATGTGTCTTGGAGTGGGCCTCTTTGCATCCATCTTGTTTGGGACTCTGTGCTTCCTGGATTTGCATGTCTATTTTCTTCTCCAATTTAGGGAAGTTTTCTCTTTTTCAAAAAGATTTCCAGTTTCTTGCTCTTTCTCTTCTCCTTCTAGCACCCTTATGGTGCATATGTTGGATTGTTTGAAGTTGTCCCAGAAGCTGCTTAGACTGTTCTCGGTTTCTTGGATTATTTCTTCTTCTTCTTGTTCTGATAGGTTGTTTTTTGCTTCCTTATGTTCCAAATCATGGATTTGATTCTCAGCTTCATCCCCTCTACTGTTTTCTCCCTGAAAGTTGTTCTTTATTTCAACTAGTGTATCCTTCATTTCTGACTGGATCGTTTTCATACTGCTGAGGTCTTCACTAAGTTCCATGAACATCCTTATAACCAGTGTTTTGAACTCTGCATCTGATAGATTGCCTATCTCCATTTTGTTTAGTGCTCTTTTTGGAGTTTTGATCTACTCTTTCATTTGGGCCATGTTTCTTTGTCTCCTTATTTTGGCAGCCTCCCTGTGTTTGTTTCTATGTGTTAGGTAGAGCTGCTTTGACTCTGTGTCTTAATATCATGCCCCAATGTAGTAGGTGTCCTCTAGGGTCCAATGGCACAGCCTCCCCTCTCACCCAACCTGGGTGCTCAAGGTACGCCCTTTGTATGGGCTGAGTACACCCCCTCTTGCAGTTGAGCCTTGATTGCTATTGGCAGGTCAATGGGAGGGATTTACCCAGGCTAGTCTGCTGCAAAGATTGGCTGTGACCACTGACCACCAACCTCCACCCTCCATGGAGGATCACTCACTATGCAGAGACAGGGTGCTATGCAGAGATGTGGTCTGTGACTGTTTACTGGTTGTGCAGGCCAAGGTCAGCCTCCATCTGTGTTTTGCCTGGGGCCATCCTGCCTGAACAGGGGACTTATCTTCCTGGCACTGGACTGCTGGTCTGGGGTCCTGATGTGGGGCTGGGACCCCTTGTTCCGGAGATACCCCTCTGAAATTTTTGTCTACCACACATGGGTGTGGGACCAGCCCATTCCCTGTCTGTGCCCTTCCTACCAGTCTGGGTGGATGTGATTTCTTTAATTCCGTAGTTGTCAGACTTCCGTTCAACTTGATTTCTCATGGCTCTGAATGATGGTTGTTCTATATTTTATTTGTGATTTTGATGTGGTTGTGTGAGGAAGCAAGCCATGTCTGCCTATGCCACCATCTTGACTGGAAGTCTCCATTTAATTTCTAGTTAAGTAAATTTATATTTAGGGTAAGCTGTTAATACTCAAGTAACAAAATAATTTAAATTTGTTATAAATTTATATGTTTAAACAAAGTGGTCTGAGAACAAAATGTATTTCTGTTCACAGAGCTTAGAACTTACAGAATGTGTAAAAAGCATTTCTATTTTGAGCAAGTATGTTTTTGTAAATTTTTTTAAACAAACTGAATAAAGTGACATGTAGAAGACAGAAAAATGTACAAAATTATAAGAATTTTTGTGCTACGTGAGGATTGAAGATATTTTTTTCATGAGAATTGCTATGAAATGTCACTTGTTTTATTCTTCTTTCTAGTCTTCGTCTTGAAAAGAGTATTTTTTGTGTGTATTTTTACTGTGCAATATATATCTCTGATTTATAATAGAAATGACTGTAAAGTATCATCTCCACTTTAAAAATGAATTTGGGCTCATGTTTTAGAACTCAGGAGCCTATCTAGCATATAAAACTTAGCCACTGTAGTTGTGGTGAGCCTTAGGGGACTTACTGCACAGGAGCACGGGGAGTGGTACTGGCCAAGGAGCCCGGAAGGTGAGTATTATGGGAATGGAAAGAATAAGGACTTACTTAAGCTGAAATGCTGCTTTTTGATTTTGAGGACACAAGGTAGGCATAGTTCTCTTTCTTACTGTAGAATTAGCACAGGTAATAGGGAATAAAAGTAAGACATTTTGGTAAATTTCTCAAAGTTGGAATATATTGAATGTACACTTCAGCAAATTATTAACAGATAGTTATAAAGTAACTTATCCTTATATGTGAATAAATAATAATTACAGCACACTTCTAAAATTTTTCCTGGTTTTATTAATCTTATTAATTGATACCATGTATGTATTAATATATACCATTAATATATATAGTACATGTGCATTCTGTAGTACACATGTGTGTACTATATCTGTTTTTTTTTGTTTGTTTGTTTGTTTGTTTCAGGAGAACCAGTGTTTATCAAGAAAGAATGAAAAGTTTATGTTTATTTATTTTTACTTATGAAAATGACTTAGATTATGTGTTGAAAACATTTTAAGTGATGAAACATTTTAAATGGTGGATGCTGTGTCAGTAGGACCCATGCTTACATGATGATTTAGGGCTAAGTTCTAAATTTATCGTAAGTCAGCTGTGTAACCTTGGGCAAATTACTTTTTTGAGCCTAAATTCGTTTTTAAAATGAAGATACTATGTTACCTTGTATAGTTATTGTGATGATTAAAACTGATACATTTCATTAAGCATTTATTTTAGTACCTGACTCATCTCATGCAACCAGTGTTAGCTCAAATCGGCCGTAGCTTCGTTGTTGCATAAAATAACACAGGTCTGAGTGATGCATGTGAGTCTAACTGACCCCCTTCTGTCAGACTCACATGCATCACTTTTGGAGGTGAGAATCTTAAAATTTGGGGCAGATTACTTTTTCATTTCATTTATGGTGAAACTTTTAACAGTGTTCTTACTTTTAAAACATTGCTTAGTTTAAAGGCTTTTCAAGTCCACCGACCAGGCGATGGTCAGGCAGTTGGAGTCCGAGCTCATTTCTGCCAGCTTAGTTAATCACTGTGATTGTAAACCAAGGACGTGCAGCTCACAGTCCAGCAGCACTTCACATGGACGGTGAAGGTGATAATAGCTTCATTCCTGCTGCATCTTTTTTCTGTGCTCTGACGAGTTCATACTGACCTTGTCCAAAATCTGATGACCTCCCTATTTTACTCTGCTGTTTGGAAGGCCTGGCCTGCCTGACTGGCCCTGAGGGGGTATCTGAAAGACCCCTGAGTCACTGACCCATGTCGAGACTGGATTTCCAGTCTGATCCATAGGACCTCCGAAATAGTTCTACCCGGGGCCTGTCGTACACAAAAACCTAACTGGCTGCATTTTTCTGCTTATTGAGTAGCCTATTAAACTCACATTTGATTTACTCAGTGTCTTAGGCAGGTCATTTTCTAGACTAATTATAAATTTTGATTTTTAAAATGAGTATTAGTACCTTAAAACTAAATCTGAATGTTTTTGAAATGTGAGCAAAATACCAAAATATACTGTTAAACCATAACTAAATATAATGAATATCTTCCGAGTTGATGAAGGAATCAAGACAGTGACATTTTAATGCTTGTAAAGATTTTGTTTGTTTTCTGGAAAAATTCCATATACCTCATAAAATATCTTGTTTAAGTTGTTATTGATATAGCACATTAATCTGTTTATATCTTGTCAGACCTCAAATACGAATTAGTCAAATGTTAGTATTTAAGCATTTTGAGGTAATGAGAATTGATCTGAAGTGGAGCATAGGACCAACCAGTAAGGTATTATTTAAAATTGGTTGGATGGCATCTGTCTACCTTAATAGAAACTTTGTGATAGGGCTCTGAAATGAAGAGAAAAAAAATTTCTATCTATATTTATTTTGTTTTTCTTCTGCATGATAGGAAATCATCAGGGCCTTTTATGAATATCTATCAGTATTCTTCTACAATGTATAATATGACATTGTCTTTTATTTTTATATAGGAGTTGATCCCTGAATTTTATTACCTCCCTGAGATGTTTGTCAACTTCAATAATTATAACCTTGGAGTGATGGATGATGGGACAGTAGTGTCTGATGTTGAACTTCCTCCTTGGGCCAAAACCCCAGAAGAATTTGTTCGCATAAACAGATTGGTAAGATAGTAATCATCTACTCTGTCTGTCAGGAGCCTTTCTTTTCTCAAAGTACCTTTCATGTGTTTGGATAACCATTAACCCTTGCTCACCTGAACAAAACCGTAGTTGATTGGGGATAACTGAGTGACATAACAGTTCATGATTCTTCATATGAACTTGATAAAATTTTTTTGACTTGCAAGGTATAATGTTTTTATTCTGTCATACAGAATTTAGATTTACTTTTATATGCATGTGATAATTCAAACTTAGAAGCAAAGTTGTAAGTTAAACTGCTTTTTCAAACATGGATTTCTTGGACCAGCAAAAGAACATGATTCTGTGTTCTGGGTCCGAAGGCCACGGCACATTTTGGTAATAGAAACAAGATATTCAGATTGTATTCTGTCTCTGTCTTTTGAAGGGCTCTTCATGTAATATTCAGAACATGAAAACTTGAAAAGTTATGATTATTTTGCTTACAATTCTTCAGAATCCTCTCTAGTGGACTCCTTACTACTCTCTGTTACATGGGTGAATGGTGTTATGAAAAAGTAATATGACTTTTCCTTTTTGCTTTTAATTTTTATAGAAGAATCAGGGAGCTTTAAACAGTATTTAAAAATAATATTTTATACTCCATATTAAAGATTGAATTTAAATTGCATTGTATTTTCAATTTACACTTAGGGAAAATTGTTGCGTTCTAGTTTTCTAGGAGGCATTTCTTACCTTGAACCAACAATTATATTTCAATCCTGTCTTTGATATCCTAATTGCAGTCCCATTATTGCAGAAATTCTTCATTTTATTTATTCTGGAAGCAATGCAGGGAGCATGGAAAGAACTAGTCTTTGAAGTTAGACTAGTTTTCTTGACCCTGGATCAATCACTTCGCTGATTATGGCCTCTTAGGGAATTTAATCTTTTTGAACCTAAGTTTCCTCATTTGTGATTTGGAAATTATGAGTAGAAGATTATAATTATGTGTGTAAAATATCTAAAATATTCTCTGGTTCATAGTAGGCACTCAGAAAATAGTACCTAGTATTCTATCACAGTTTTTTTTTTCTTAACATCTTTTCTATCTCAGTCTGAAGGTACTTTACATGTTACTTTTACCCCACACCCATTTGAAGATTCTCCTTAAGTTATTACAATGACAGCAGAAGACAAAGCTGAGCTATGAGACACATCGAGGGCAATGCCAAGGTTGTAAATGTGACCATTATCTATAGTTAGGATTTTGTTTCCCAGGAGCACAGAAGTCAATAGAAGGTATAGTCATTTCACAACTGTTTTTGTGATTTCCCTTCTAAAACACATTTATTGAGTTATAATTTACATACCATAAAGTTCACCCTTTAAACAGTGAACAAATTTCTGGTAAGTTTATACAGCTGTGCAGCCATCACCACAGTGAGCGTTGGAACACGTACACCGCTCCAGAAAGTTTCCCTTACCTGTTTGCTGCCTGTCTCTGCTCCCACTCCAAGGCCCAGGCAGCCACTGATTCTGTCTCCACAGTTTTGCTTTTTCTAGAAATTTTATATAAAGGGAATCATGCGATATGTAGTTTTTTTGTTCCTGGCTTCTTTCACTTAGCATGATGCTTTTGAGATCCATCTGTGTTGCTGCATGTGTCAGTAGTTAATTTCATTGTAATGCTGCATAGTATTCCATCTGAAAGATGCAACAGATCCTGTTTATCTGTTTACAGTTTATGGGCATTTGGGGTTTGTCCAGTTTGAGGCTGTTATGAATATTTGTGTGTGTCTTAGGGTAGACATCTATTTTCATTTATCTTTGATAGATTTTTAGGAGTTTAATTGCTGGGTCTCATGATAAGAATATGCTACCATTATGCATTGCCACCAGCAATGTATGAAGTTCCAGTTTTCCATATCCTTGCCAAGACTTGGTGTTGTCCGTCTCATTTTAGCCATTCTAGTAGGTATCTCATTGTGATTTTAATTTGCCATTTCCAAATGCCTAATGATGTTGACTACCTTTTCACTGGCTTATTTTCTGCACTTATATGTTCTGTGGTGAACTGTTTGTTCAGATCGTTTGCCTAATTTTAATTGAGCTATTTGTCTTTTTGTTATTTAATTTTAAGATTTCCTTATTCTCCATAAAAGTCCTTTATTTAACATACCTTTTCCAAGTAGTTTTCCTCTAGTCTGTGGTGTGTACTGTCTTTTTATTTTTTTTTCTGGGTATTGAGTTTAGAGAGAGAGAAGGGTGGGGGGAGAGACATTGATTTTGTTGTCCCACTTATTTCTGCACTCACTGGTTGCTGCTTGCATGTGTCCTGGCCCGGGATCAAACCCTCAACTTTGGATGACACTCTAACCCACTGAGCTACCCAGCCAAGGCCTTGTCTTTTCATTTTTTAATGGTTCCTTTTCAATTACCATTAAAAAAATTTTTTTTTACTACTAGGTAGGTATAAAACACTATTTATATAATATTGAAAAGTATAAATAATCATCTTTGACCTTGAATAAATTTTTAAGAAGGTAAAATCCATATCATTTCATTATTGAAATGCCTTTTCTCAAATATTTAATTTTTAAGTCTCAAGCATACCAGCTCTCCATTAATCACTAGCATATTTAGTGTTATTAAAAATACAGAGAAGTTTGTTGGTGTGTTTACTTTGTTATAAAAGTGGTTAAGAGGCAGAGACATTGAATTAATTATATTTAAAGCTTTTCAACAATATGTTGACAAATAAGAAAATTTAATTGTGTAGGTTGGGGTTAGCCATTCTCCAGACAGTACTTTCCATCTTTACTCTCAGAAGAGCCAGATCTGTTTGAGACTGGTTTCCCAAGGGCACAGAAAATAAATAAATACATAAAAGAAAAGAAAGAAAGAAAAAAGAAAACGAGGCTACTTACCAAATTGTTTTCCAATCAGATTTTGGTTTTGCCTGTCCCTGTTTTAAGACTATGTTAGGATGACTATGACATTATATACAAAATTGTGTTTTACACTAACTGCATATTTATTATAACATTAAGATATTAAACATTTCTTCCAGTGATTCCTCTTCCTACAAGTTTTCCAGATGTCTTCGTAGTTTAGGCTCTGAGTGAGCATACAGTCTGAGCAGAGCTAAATAAAAAAAAATCACTGCAAATTAAATACAAACATAATTTACAGTTAAAATATTTCCATCTCTGATCAGTTTAATTCTTAATAGAAAAGATTCTTGATTTTACTTACATGTGTCTTTATGAAAGAATTTAATAATTTATTCATTCAAAAATATTTACTATATACCTGTGATGAACAAAGCTTTCCCACAGTGCAGTCCATATTGATTCATTTTATAATTTCCTATTAACTTTCTGTAAGTGACTGAATTATTAGTGTGTGGTATTTTATGTATCTGTTAGCATGTTATCGCATAAGGGCTTTATCCCCTCCTCTTTTTGGTTTACCTCTTCAAGCCCACAGATTTTATGCAATGATTGTAGCTCATGAAATGCATACTACTTTGATCTGTGACCTTTTTGTGGTGCTAATCGGGTTCCTGATATCATTATACCTTACTCATTAATCATATTTCCTGCAGCCCGTCAGGCAGCCAGACAGCGCAGGTCCCTGCTTCAGCCCTCTGTTGGCAGGTTTCTGCTTTTCCAGATTATTACAGACGATACTTTGGCTCCTCATAGCCAGAGTCATATCAAGCTGTGTGTTACAATTAAAGTCAGATGGTCCTCAGGTTGAACAGGGATATAGTGTTGCAGCTGTCTCTCTTCCTGGAACAAACCAGCACCAAGAACAGATGATCTATAGGACAGTGAATAATAGCAGATTGTACAGTGCTCTGTTGGTAGCAGGGGATCGCAGAATTAATTAACTGACATACTCATTTTAAGATACCCAGCACATCTTTTTAAAGTATTTGGCTGCCCAAATATTAATTCAAGGGGATAAGATATTTTTAGGAACATGATTGTGATAGTGGACTGGTAATGCTACATTTTCTGTTTGTGTTAGAAGACCATAACTACTCTCTTCCCTAACTAACCATTTTAATCCTCAGAGCTTGTGGTAGGTAATGCAGATCTAAATGTAGGATTGGTGAATTGGCTAAAGTGTTGCATTTATGGAAGATAATATCCTGTGTACTTTAGGAGGAAACCCCAGCTAATTCTGATTCATCTTTCAGGTAAATAAATTATATTTTCTTTGTTCTGAACAGTTGGACCTAGGGTAAAACCAAAGCAGTCTTAATTACATCCCAAAGATTGTTCTGTTATTTAATATGACCTTGACCCCCCCAAATTTTTTTCTTTTGCTTCAGGAATATAAATGAGAAACAGGCTTTCATACTTCCAAATAATATAAAAATATATGAATTCAGACTGCTCATCATATATCTCTAATGATATAATGTTGGTTTTATGGACCTATATTATGTTGCTTCTTATTTTTAAAAGTTGATGAAGTGGAACCTTTTATTGTAGCTGAAGGATATATAGTTTATTTAAATTTTAATAAAAGTAATTCTTCATTTAACAGATATTTGCAGAGCTTCTAAATACTAGCCCTGTGAGAGTCAGTGAGCAAGGCAGACCAGGTCACTCCTCTTCTGAAGGTTACTCCCTCTCTGATAGTGTAGGCTGTGGACGCAGAAAGCTTCTGGGGGCTGAGAGGCAGCGTGAGTCGAATAAAGGGAGGCCTCCGTTGACGAATTGTCCTGAGTTTACCAGTTAGGATCACACTGGCTTTTGTGTACTTTCTGGAGCTTTTGTCTTCTCCACTATTTCATAGTGGTGGCATGAGTGGTCACTTGCTTGAGAAGGTAAAGAAAAATAAAATGAGTGTGTTTTCTCCTTTCTAGATGATATACGGACAGATTAAAAGTGATGATTTTTTAAAATATTATTTAAAGAAAATAAGTGTATAAGAAAATTTTCATATTTCATTTCTCCTCCATCCTTGTTTTTCCTACCTATTGCTAAACATAAATCTACTCAACCTACCTAAACGTTTATAAA